GATCGAGACCGTAACTCGCGACACAACTTTCGCGGAAATTTTCGAAAATGTCGGCGAATAACAAGACATCGGTTTTCAAATACAGATCACTGTACTCGCCGAGCGTTTGAATGGAGAATCTTCCAGACGTTCGCGGTGTGCGCGTAATTGCTCTCGGATACTGTATCGCCCGTTAACTGAAAAATGATTCGCGTGGTAATAAACGCGTGTCCTGCAATTTTTCGAGGCAGTCAACGTACTCATACGAAAAGACACCTTTACGAGTCAGTAATTCAAATTCTTCATCCGATAGTGTTGAAAATTTGGAACGTACGATTTTTAATTTGTCTCTGGTTAGAAACGATGCCAATTTATCGAGGCTTACATTTAGAAATTTGAAAGAATCGATGAACCGTAATTTTATGCATTTTCACGAGTCTGCTCTCTTGGCGGTATCTTGAACATGTTTAGTGAACGAAATATATTTTTCTTTGGTTATCGGTAACACATCTACATGTCCTTCGTACGCGGTAGCAATTTCTTTAATTATAAAGTGCACGTCGTAGCCCGATAAATTGTGAAAAACGATCGGAATATGAAATGAATTTTTATAATTAAGATTGCAATTTGCATGCGCTGGGCCATGAAATCTATCGGTGAGATGAGACAATGATTGTGTACCCGCGTATCGTCCGGCGTGAACGGTTTCTCGCAAATATGACAACGCGTCGCGCTACGGTACGCCTCCAATTGTTCTTTCGACAACGTTTCCATGGGTTTCCATACGTTGGCGAATATGATATTTTTCACTCGATGCGCCAAATCGTTGAGTTGTCGCGCGAACCACACTATACAGTCTTCATTGCGATATGACGATAACGCGTCGTTGTACGAATATCGCACATAGTATCCTATACTAAATACCTCGTGCTGTTGATACGTGTACGACGACGCATTTTTCCTATCAAGTTCCATCTTCCGTAGAACGCACTCCAAATTAGCGTAGACGATGAATGGGGCGCGCTGCTTATTGCAGTGGTTCTCAAATTTGAGCCGCTTGTCGTCCACGCTCGGCAGTCGGATAGCGGAGTCGTTGATCTTCTCGCAGTCCATTATGTGCGACTGCAATTTTTCGTTGGTACTGAAGTACTGCAAGCATCTGAAAAAATAAACAAAACAAATTATAACTATTACCATTATTTTATTAATAAGATGGAAAATTATAATAATTTTTCATGTATACTTACCGATCGTAGAAAAATTTCTTGTTCTTTTTCCCACTAATCTGCGAGCTCACGAGACAGGATAGATTTTTTATCGACGCAAAATGTCCAACACCGTCGTTGCGTAGATTTTGCACGTACAGCACGTTGACGTGTTTCTCTTTCTTTTCATTGATGAGTCGCAGAGGAAGGACCTGTTTATTCTCGATGCCGTACACGTCGATCGACACCGCGTTCAACCGTTCGAATTTAGAAATGTTTTAAAGTTATTGGAAACTCAATGTTTGCGAGATTCAATACTGTCGTATAATGCGGATATGATTCCCGATCCGTATACTTTTCAGCCGGGTACAGCGCGGCGACCACCGACCACGCGAAGCACACATTGTCCGTCGTACGCACACTGATCACTGCTCGTTTCGTCGCTATTTTCCACGGCACTTTGATACGACATCTCGCGCGCATGGGATTTAATTTGTTCACATTAATAGTCAAATTCACTATATGACAATGCCCATCCGCTGTCGCGTTCTTAGAACTCTTCGAGCGATGCTAGGATAGGTTCGATGACACGCTGCTCGTACCACTCGCGCAAATTGGTGTATCTCGCTATTCTTTGTAATTATGCTCTTATGAGCACTTTTATCCTTCGTCGCGAACTCACCGTTGAACGCGGTGTTCACTTTTATGCTACCGTGTCTTTCTACAGCGTCTCGCACACGCTCGAACACTATTTCTCTCGCGTCTTCCAAAAACCGCCGCGGCTCAATATGATTAGAGTATCACAACATCTGTCGATATACGGCTTTCAAAAAGCGGCGTCGATCTCTCACGAGACGAGAGATCTTTCGTCGCAACTCGCGTACTCGCCACTCGTGTACTCGCCACCAACGTGCACGAAACGTCGTTCCAATTGCAATTTTGCACCCACGAGTCGCGCGATCCTCGCCATGGATTGTCTGTGTCCAACGGCGAGACGCGGACGCTTGGCATGACAAAGTTCTTCGAGCCGCTCGATGCACTCGTCGCATCGTAGCAGCCACGCGAAATATTCCACCAGAGAAGCGATCTGGCCACACTGTTCCAACAATGCGCGTATCACTCGCGTGATTTTCCATATCTTTTTTTTACAGTCTTTAGATCACGTCACACTTTTCTACGGAGCACTTGCACTCGTTCACGTCGCAGCACCGTGACATATCTAAAATGTCATAATGTTCTAACACTTTTTCATTATATTTGTTTATGAAAATGCACTGTTCATATTCAAAACATTGATCGTCGCATCTATCGAAAAATAGTTTTAGCGCAAGATCGCGATCACGAAACTCCATCCATATATTGTCGATAATCAACAGTTCGACGCACTTTTCATTAACTGCGGAGATCTTAATGCATATGCATCAACCTTGGCTCTTAGCTGCGATTTTCTTCGCCCAATAATAATCGTCCTTTATTATTTGAACATTTCTATTCCACCAATGTCTCTTTTCATATTCATCGTCCTCGTAACATTTGTCTCGTAACCGTGGGTACACTTTCTGTCGCGCGAGTAAAGACCAATCAGAAACAGGCTCTCTAATAACTATTCCATGTTTCTCACCACGTATATCTAATTCGCGATCGCGTAGAAAGTGCACCGATATTCGCGCACCTGTGTCTCTTTTTTGCAGATTATCGAGAACATATAGAACATCGTCTACATTATAGTCTTCCCACATATTTCCCAGTGTAATGTTTCGCTCACAATACTATTCGCAATAGTTTTTTTCAATGTGTGCAGTGTGGGCACTTGTACACGAATATATAATGTATGTGGGCACTCTGCAATTCGTGCAAGACCGACCGCTTAGCGCGGCAATATAACCGATATCGTGCTTCCTTACGAGGTACAATCTTGCGATATCAGTATCAGCCAAACGGATCATGCATGCTGCACATACACTTAAAACATCACCCGTCGTATAATATAATAACAATGGATTATGCAGTGTTTAGTACGATCGTTCAGTGCACGGATGTCTAAAGACGGCACAATCTTTCTATATAATCTGTATCACGCTCGCTCAAATCGCTAGCATAGCCAGTGTCGTCTGATAATATTTCTTCGTTGGAATCGATTTCTGGGTCCATTATTTCTTCGAAATTCACTTCTTCGAGCACTTCATCTCTGATATTTGCGAACTGTTTCGGATCCACGTTTCGAATATACTCAACTACATTGGCTATGTTCGCACGATGGTTAGCCATACTTTTTTTTTTGATGACGGAGGGGAAATACCTAACACATATCCCGAGCCTCAGGGGAGAGCCCGGGGTTATGTGGGGCTTGCACCCACTAAAACCCCTCCGGGTGTCCTGAACCGGCCATAGCTGAGGGAACGCGTGTAGCATACTTCTGGGAGTCTCTCTGGCCAGTCGAATGTTGCCGAGACAATCCCGCCCGAGATTCGTCGGAGAGACGGCCCCGGGCGGCGCGTGGCGTTGACTGCCCGAATCAGGTGCCGGGGAGGACACCACCCCCCGCGCCCGCCCTTCCCCCCGTTGTAGTTGGGGGGTGGGGGTTGGGGATCCCGGCCCCCGCCAGGACTCCCAGCCCCCTAAGGAGCGCCAGACGAGAGTTTGGCGCCCCTCATGCTAGTCTGCCGCGCCACGAAACACTTGTTTTTGCGGCGCGGCGCATCCCCCTCGCGCGGGGGGGACGGGTGCCTCGCCGCGAACACGCGGGCGTAGGCGGACGGGTCGACAGGGACAGAACCCCGACACCGCGCGCGGAGGATCATTCCTAGCGGTGATGCATCCTCGAGGTTCGTTCGCCGCCGCTTCACGGCTCCCCGCGTCCGAGACGCGGGGCCGTAGACAATGGTGGGGGAGGAGGGGTCATTGACCCCCATCTCCCCCGTACGCATCCTCGTCATCTTCATCCTCGTTCTCTTTCGGTTCCTCCGGTATCGGAGAGGGAGGTCGCCGCCGTTTACGCATGGGACGATCGCGGCGATGCGAGCGCGCGGGAAGGGACCAGGAACACGAGCGACCCAACTGCGGCCGGCGCCCGTGTGTTCTCCCGCGATCCCCCCGGCGTCGCCTATCTCTCTCCCCTCCGCCACCTACATCGTCGCCACCGCCGCCCGGCGGCGGATGAGGGCCACGGCCACCCGGGGTCCACTCCGTCTCTTTCTCGGCCTCCTTCCGCGACATGACTTGTTCGCAGAAGGAGGAGAATGCCGTCCAGGCGCTCCCCCCGCCGACTATCGCTCTAACGACGGCCGGCAGGGAGAGATCGCCCCCTATTTCACGGACCAGGACACCGCGCTCACTTGCCCAGGCCGGGCAAGCCTCTAGCGTGTGTTGTGCGGTGTCCCGGTCCCCGTCGCAGTGAAAACATCCGCGCTGTCGGCTCCTTTCCTATTCAACGCAGGTACTCCCCGAAACAGCCGTGTTCGATGAGCACCTGCGTTATGTGGTATGAGAGTCCACCCCATCCCCTGCCAATCCATTTTTCTACGCAGGGGAGGATGGCCTTCACGGTCCGAACGTCCCTTGTCGGCGGATGACTCTCGAGAACGGCGCGCCACTCCCGAAACACTCGCCGGCAT